GAGTGTTGTTCAGCATGGGGGTGAGTAGAAAATGAAGGCTAATCATGTTTTGGGTGTACTATTCCTTTAACTAAAATGTAAAGACACAGATGCTCCATTTTTAAGTAATACCCTAAAAATGACCTAATATTGTGCCTACATATTCACACTTTATTCCCCGTTCTGTTATGTTACAACCAGAAACTTCACACATTGCATTTGAAATTTACGTGGTAGACCAACAACAAGGTAAAGTGTCTTACAGATTAAAAAATAAAAAGTGTGTTTTTTTTTCTAATCATGACCCCAAACAATTCACCAACCTCTGACTGTAGCGAGAGCTCTGTGGGTTGTTTCTATGGATCTTGCATATCTAGAAATGAAGTATTTGCCCATTTTTCTTATCTGAATATTCAGTTTCGAAGCAAATTCTCATTTGGATTTAGATCTTTGTCAAGGCCGTTCTAATACAAGTATGCCTGGATATTAACCATTGCATGCTCATTTCCGTTTGCATGAATTTAGCTCCATTTACTCCCATCAACTCTAACCAGTTTCCCTGTTCCTGCGACTTAAAGGGCGTCCCAACCATGTCTTGATCCCACCACCACTTAGACAACTCTATGCTGGTTTTTATTTAGGGAGTAGAGTTGATGTGGCTGGATAAAAATACACGTTTCATTTTAAAAAATCTTTGTTTAAACCTTTTTCTCTCCACCTAACAGAACTACTTTGTGTTGGTCTATCAACATTGAGGTTTGTGGTTGTACTCGTACCCAAAAGGGGAAGAAAATAAAAAGAATGTGGCAGGAATAATTTGGTGGGTAAAATTACCTGTGCAGGGCTGATGTTTCTTTGCTGTCTGTTATTGGAACAGGGTGATGGAGGCGGCCTGCGGGGGACTGAAAGTGACTGATGTCGGAGTTTGGGTGTGATGATGTTAGGGGAAGGGATGGCATTCGATGGGTGGCATGAAACTGCACGGCGACAAACATGGACAACTGAGCCAGTGTTAAGAAATGTGGAGAAACATAATGTGTTGAAAAATGATGACACACATGAAGGAAAACAGCAGCGTCAGTGAGCTCAGAAAGTTTCTCATAGCAGTGAAAGGGTTAAAGCAGTGAGGACTTCCTTGAAAGGAGGGGTATACCTTCTTCTCCGGACCTACAAGCTGCACTCTTGCTCCTAGCCAGATAAGAACATGTGGGGGTGAGAAGGCGACTGACCAGATTCCTCTCCCATGTTGTCAGAGGCAAGCGACGTGGAGCTGGTGTATTGATCAGTGTAGAGTTTTTAGTAGGGCAAAAGCAACAGATAAGACATTCCTAGAGCCATTGCCTTTTGCAACACTTTTTAATCAGCACATATTAAATGTGGGTTGTGCAGACAAGCTGTTAAAAGACGCTGAGAGGAGAGGGCACATGTATCTCTCATACCATTCTTAGTGGGCTTCCTGCCTCTTGAACTTTGACCGAGGTGCTGCTGGGCCTTTTGGCTCCTCTCTATTGTCTTGCGCACTGTAGTTTCATGCCGCTCCTTCATTGAGACAAAATAACAATCTAAGCCTTGTTTTTAGTTGTTGAATGCACACTGCAAAAAAACCATCTAGAAATAAGTTAAAAATGTCTTAAATTAAGTGTATTTACCCTTATTTTGAGCAGGTAAATAAGATGATCTGTATTTTTACTCCTAAAATAAGATAATTAGATAATATACACTTGAAATAAGACAAAGCAATATTTTTTTTCTTATTTTAAATGTAAATTTTCTTGTTCCATTGGCAAAGTGTCTCACTTACCTCCTCAATTCAAGAAAAAATACACTTAATTTGAGCAAAAATGACTTATTTAGATTTCCATTTTTTTGCAGTGCAAACAGAAAAATGCTGAAAATAAAAGCTCACTTTTTCCTCTCTCATCCTCTGCTTTCGTTTCTCCTCCACAGCTGCACGCCTCCTCTCCTCTTTGAGCCTCTGCTCCAGGAGTTTTTTCCGTCGCTCCTGTAGCTGTTGTTCATAGTAACGTCTGGCTCGCTGTTCCCGCTCCAGTCGGCTCAGCTCCCGAGAGACTGACAGGGAATTAAGCGGTAGGAATAGTTTTATAGTATATGTGTGTAGATTTGTTTTTTTTTTGTGAGGGGTCGTTGTGGCGGTGATGCATACCCAGCAACTTCTGCTGCTCTTCTCTTCTTTCTCGAGCTGCTCTGAGTCTTTCGTCAACATTCAGTCCGTTACCTGCAGGCAGTAAAAGGGTTTTACAGTTAAAAGTCATGAAAAAGCAACTGAAAAAAAGTACAGGGGAGATTTCTGTGACGGCATTTGAAACAAACATGCTGTTGTTAGAGTCCTGCAGTGTAAACTCAAGGTTGTCTAAGGGCCCAAGCATAATCTGCTATGGTGGGCTGACTAGCACAGGAACAGTTTTCGTTTGTGTATGTTTTACAACTAAAAAGTGGCCTTAGCTATGAATGATGTAAATGTAAATCCCTTTATTGTTCCACAGTGAGGAAATTCTTCTCTGCATTTGACCCATCCCTGGTCTGCCATTGTGTGGCGCCTAGGGAGCAGTGTGGAGTTAAGGGTCTTGCTCCGGAACCCAGAGTGGGGGCTGTGGGGATCGAACCGGGAACTTGCAATCTTCTCAGAGCACAAGTGCACTGCTATAACCACCAACACTCCCCATCAAAATTGACACTTCAACTAGTTGTTTACAACATAAAATGCACTTGAGATATCATCCATCCATCCATCCATCCATCCATCCATCTTCTGTCATATTTATCCTAACTTGGGTTGCGAGGGGTGCTGGTACCTAACTCCAGCTATCTACGGGAGAGAGGCGAGGTCTATCCTGGACAGGTCACCAGTTCATCGCAGGCACACAACTATTGCAATTGAGATATAATTACTTATACAAGTTTAACAATGTTAAAATACAGAGCAAAAACTGATCTGTAGGGCTTACAAGGACGGACAATAATGTATAATTTAATTTATTTATTTATTTGACAGGGACAGTGTACATTAAAAAGCGTTCCTGCAAATGCACCAGAATTAGCCAAAAGGCTATTTTTCATCTGTTGTCCCTGGACAGATCTTAAAATTGTCTTCCTAAAAAAACACAACAGTAAGCATGCTACAATGTAAAATACAAATGATTATTGTTGAAATTTATCTTCTAAATGTTTTTATCAATGAGACACAAGCATCAGAAATTAGAACTTCAACTAGCAATATCAACTTTTAGTTACTGGGCATGCTAGACCTGTAACTTCCAGGTTTACAGTAGGGCCCCTGGAGGAAACTAGCATCACCTGAGTGTTGCAAAATGAAACAGTGTCCCTCTGTGGAGGCTGTGAGCACTGTGGACCAGCAGATTAAGACGTCATAGAGACCACATCCATAAAGGCAACATTCACCCCTCCAGATCAAATGCTAGATCAGAGATGCTAATTATGTCATGTCTGTTTAGTTGCCTAGCAACATTTTTTAGCAAAGTTAGCTCTCTTGTTTTAGGGGAGCTCTGACTGCCTCTGGGTCGCACGACCCATTCAATGAAGGATCTGACCCTTTCAAGTTACACTTGTGAGTTTTTGAGGAGATCACTGCCACAGACCAACAATACACCCCATCTGCTGTATATTGACCATAAAGATAATTTAACATATCTCAAACTAAGATAATATTTGGGTCAAAAGTTTCTTTAAAATATAAAATTGGTGATTAAAAGATGTATTTTGTGTTTAAGCCACATTCTCACTTATCAACATGTTTAATGTACGTATTCAATTATATCACTTTATAATGTAGAATGCAAAGCAAATGTATAAGGTATCTTATTTTGGCTAAACTTGACTATCCATTTCCTCCATTTTTAATCAGTAAAGGCAATATTTCATACCCTAAAAGTACTTAAATCATCACGCAAATATTCATTGTCTACCTAGTTATGTTGTTGTCAATAATTATGGAGATAAGCCTTTTTTTTATTTCCACAATTCAATCCCACATAAAGTATATAAATCTTAGATATCTCAGATTAAATTAAATTTTGTTTATTTATATAGCGCCAATTCACAACACATGTCATCTTAAGGCATTTTACAGTTCACCAAATTGATTTTCTAAGGAAAACCAGTTTATTGCATTGACTCATTGACTCGGATGCAGTCCCTCATACTAAGCATGCTTGTGGCGAAAGTAGAGAGGAAAAACCTCCTTTAACAGGAAGACTCCGGCAGAACCAGGCTCAGTGTGAGCGGCCATTTGCAGAGGCTGACTGGGGTTCAAGGAGACAGAGATACAAAAGGCAGCTGTAAACCAGCTCCGAGCCAGCTCCCGTGTCAGAGGATGAAGAGAGCACATCCAGTTAGTCACAGTCAGAGAAACAGGTCAGAGATCAGATTCCTATCTTCATCAGAATTTATATGATTGTAATCTGTTTTCATTAGTTTAAGTTCTTGGACCCATTTTGGCTGGAATGCTTATAACATATGAGAAATATAGACCTCTTCATAGAATCCCTTAAACCAGGAGTTCATAAACAGCCTCAGCTTCTGACTGGGAAGCACCCGCAGTTTGCACTTATAAAAAATATAACGTTTATTTAGCATAAGGATATAAACTAAAATGTTCTTTTCACTGTATTTTATTATTATCTGATAACAAAAGGTTTAAACAAACTGTTAAATGGTAAATGGCATGTACTTATATAGCGCCTTTTTTCAAGTCAGGTAACTTGACCAAAGCACTTTACACTTCATTCATTCACACACACACTGATGTTGGCAAGCTACATTGTAGCCACAGCTGCCCTGGGGCTCACTGACAGAAGTGAGCCACAGACAGTGAGCCCTGAGTTTATCATCTCAATAGAAAACATATATATTATTTCACTCTCTATTTCATGATAATTTACAAAAAGGGTTAACACATTTTTAATAATAAGAAAAATTACATTTATTTTTTGTTTTTGTATATGTTTTTCTTATTTTCCTTTTTCAGGGCGCCCCTTGGTGGCCCTCATTTTGGAAAAACTGTCCTACAAAACCACTGACAGGAGCTGATTTTGGAAATCTGGGGCCCTAGGCAGAGGCAGACATTGGATATTTTAATAGAATAGACATACATTATTTGTTCTACCTTTTTCTCCCTCTCTTCTTTTCCTTTTCTTTTTTTTTGGCAATGTGCTCATTTGATATTTCATGTTGTCTCAAAAGAAATGAAGGATTTTTCCAATCACTACTTAGCTGATTGCTTCTTCCTGTGTTTCCAAAAAGGTGACAGCAAAAGTAAATAAGACAGTTGTTCTTTTCTCTGTTGACAAGCCATGGTCTGCTTATCTGTTCTCCATTTTTACATTTAAATTAAATAATAGCTGCATGAATCATGACAGCAGACAAGATAGAGGAGAATCTTCTTCCTCTGGGGAGCAGAGTTCTATGCTTTTATATATTGTCACCAAAGTCACCAGTAACAGAATAAAGTCACTAGATTTGGTACTAGATGCTTTAAAAAAAATGAAAGTGCTAGAGGGGTCTGAAAAGTTGCTAAATATAGCGACTAAAGCGCTAAGTTGGCAACACTGCTCCGTTTGTTTTCAAATGGTTTGCTACTGTCTGTTTGGACCTTTCTGCACATGCACATCAAGGGGACTCATCCAATGTGGTGGACACTGAATGCATTCTGATAGCATTCTACAAAAAGGATTTTTATCAAAAGCATAATAAAAGTGCAAAAATAAGTGCATTAACCATACATTTAAATGGAGTTTCATTGGCAACTGGGCAACTGCCTAGTTTTGCCTAAAGGTAAATTCCGCCCCTGCCTGCATCTAAACATTATTTAGTATAGTCATAATAAATCTTTCTACAGCAGACAGTGTTAAAGTTAAATTATTTAGAAATTGTATACAATTTCTGAAATGTGTGAGGTAAATATGCACTGAGTGTGTGACAGTTTAAGGATTTGTATGACGCCACCTGCTGGCCTGGAGGTCCTAAAACAGCCCGTTCTTCTCTTATCCTTCAGGCTGGCTTTCCAAACTAACCTGCAAAGAGCCGTGGGCTAACATTGCCGCAGATTTGGATGGACTTGATGGCAGGACAGGTTGTTTTCTTTGTTTGAGAGCTTGGTTTGACATAAGATCCATTCCCTGTGAAAAAGAAATCACTTGTTTACATATTTTGATGCCCATTTTTACCCTCATATTCTCATCAGCCTTCAGCTGTAAACAAATGTTCTAGTTCAGCATGTGATGTCATGGATGTAGAAGCCTTGAAAAAAATCAGCTTGAACAAGCAGCCCAGATAGAAGCTGTTAAACATGCTGGCCTTCAGGTCAGATCCAAATAAAAGAGCCATTATTATCAGGCTGTGTAAAATAGGCCAGCACCTGACATATAACCATTTATATAATAAACAAAAAAAAGAGTGCATGAGAGTTAAATCATCCAACTGTTAGATCTGGTTATGGCTGACTATTACACTATGATATTGTGCCTGTGTTTTCCTCATTTGGGTCTAAAATAATGTTCTTAATCTGAATCTACAACATTGTTTCAGAATAAGCATAGAGACACTAACCTCCTGTTCCTTCAGACCTGCTTCCAGCCCTTTGGCTCTCAATGGTACATGTAGAAAGTGGTCCCTGCGATGGAGGGATTTCACTCTGCTTCTTCTGTACAGCCATGCTACGTATTGAGCTTTGCATAGCAGTACTCTCTCTAGTCCCCCCTCTCCCTCTCTCTCCCTTCTGTCCTCCTCCTCCTTTGAATTTCTATTTCAAGATGCCTTCAGGTCCTTGCATGAGTGCGCAGAGAGGAAAACTGTCTTCTGCATCAGCTGCTTGTCCATCTGTGCCTCACAAAGGAACTGAGTGCAAAGCAAGAGAACAAAAACATCCAGTCAGACCCCTGTGTAATGATTTTTTTCTGTATCTTATCTCTACGGTAAAATTTTCCTCTTGGTTGATAAAGGTCTGGAAAGATCCTAAAGCTCAGTTGTCTGCTAATAGGTTACTCCCCTTTAAAGATCTCACCCTTGTGAGCTGCTCTGATTTCTTCCACATTGTTCAATTGCTGTGTCACTTTAATTCCCCCACCACACTGCCTGCATGCTGGAAACAGGCAGGGAGATCCAGCATTTCCTGGAAACAGGAGAGGAAAAAGGAAATGATGCATAGAGTATGTCCATGTGAATAATTATCAGAGCAACAGTCGTATAATGTTAAGTGACATGCAATATTTTGTTAGGTATAGGACATCAGTGTTTTTTTTTTTTACCCATAATTCCACCCTTATGAAGTTTAACCCTTTGACCACTAGATGGAGATCTAGTTGTGCATGTAATAGGTTTAGGCTAGTGAGCTGCAGAACATTCCTTAGATGATATATGCAGGAGTCCAAATTAGCCTGAGAATATAACTCTCTCCCTTTTTTTCTTCATGAATTTGGACTGAAGAAGGAGCTTCACCAGCAGGGCCGGCCAAAGGTTGTAGTAGGCCCTGAGCAAAACTTTATTTTTGTCCCACTTTTCAGCTAAAGCTAGTTAGACTACAGAGAGAGTTAGAATTGTGTCACTGACATACTGCTCTACTTTGGAGGACCAACTCTGACATTAATAAAAACAAATAAAAAAATAAATAATCACTCAATAAATCCATCCATCCAATTTCCGTCACGCTTATCCCAAGCGGGGTCATGAGGGCTGCTGGTCCCTATCTCCAGCTATCTATAGGCGAGAGGAGGGGTTCACCCTGGACAGGTCTACAGTCCATCACAGGGCAACACAGAGACAAACAAACATTCCCACACACAACTAAGGAGAATTTAGAGAAGCCAATTAACCTAACAGTCATGTTTTTGGATTGTGTGAGGAAGCCAGGGTACCCAGAGAGAACCCACGCATGCTCAGGGAGAACATGCAAACTCCATGCAGAAACACCCTGGGTCGGGAATCAAACCCGAAATCTTTCTGCTGCAGCGGTGCTATGCACTGCTGCACTGAGCAGCCTTCTCAATAAATCCATAGACATAAAATCAAGCTTTACTGTTTAAGTACTTATGTTTTTTATGTATTTAGTTCTGTGTATACTTTTTATTTTTTGTCCTTTTTTTTTCTTACTCCATGTCTTATTCGTCAGTCATTTTTCCACTTCTGTTTGTATTTCTGCCTCATTATGCAAATGAGAAGGAGCAATCTTAAGGAGAAAGCTACTACCTGTTGGTTGTTTAGACTGTATAGAATCTAAATGCTACCAGGCCAGCCAAAGTTAAAACAAAGATGTCTACCCCCCCATGAGGTTATCTGTTAGCTGAGCTGAGACATTTAAGAACTTTATCTAAAAACAGGATGTGAATTCCTGACGTAGTCGTGTGGATGCTCTGGAAGAACATGCGTTTCTGTTACCTGCACATTTGGACAACTTTACTTGCATATTATCTTCAATCGTCCCTAACAGAAACTGCAGCGTCCTCCTCATTTGCATAATGAGACCTGCTCTACCCAAGCATACAGTACTATTCTGAGATTATCACCTGACTTTATTTTGTTTTGGTTGCAAAAAGTGACTTGAAAAGTTGAAAAGCAACGGAAATAATGTTAATTATTTTAACCGTGAAATGTTATACGAGCTAACGATTAAAATTAGTAACAAATACCTGAGCCCTACACGTCAGAAAAGCTATTATAACATTATTATTGCTCTACAGCACATGTGTCAGACTACACTGACGACACTCGGCGTCCTACCATCTCAACTGTATCACATAAGTAGGTCAATAGCAGGACAACTATCAACAAGTTCACGAGGAGGTAACTCAGCCTTTCAATTCAGGTGTTGGAGTTTGTCAGCCTTTAAGGACTTGAGTTTGACACAACGCTCTGTTCTACAAACTTTTAAATGTTTTATGACCAAACCTTAAAATGAAAGAATTATGATCCAAACCAAAGAGTGAGTTTAAAGCTTTTAGACTTTTTTTTTTTTTTTTTATTCAATACCTGAAAAATTATTAGAAAAGGGGGGAAAAGGAGGAGGAAATTCTGTGGTTCTCTTCTGTTAGGCTTCATCATCTTGTCACATCCTCTTTAACAGCAGAAACTTCATCATTATAGAGTGATTATCTAATATGATATTAGAATACAGTCCATGCAAGGGCAGGGCTAAGACTGAATCAGAGGATACCAGGTGCATTAGAACTGAATCAACATGGATGGAGGCAAATTGTAATGATAAATACTATTTGATGTAGTTTTTTTTAAAAGGCGCTTGTGGACGTTGACCTGCTTTTTCAGACACGCATCAGAAATGTTTGAATTTGCATCAAAAATGTATGTTTATATAACTTTTAAAAATCATTGTTCCTTGCTATTAGAACACCTACCCTGCTCTAGCTAGTTGATTGCTCACTGGAAACAATGAAGATTTCAGGTGTAAACTGTTAACGTGCATTTCTCTCTAGTTGTGTCCCCCAAAGACAGTAGTGTCCAATCGCTCTGTCTGGGTGTATTACTTTTTTATTTGAATTCATTTCATAAAAAGCTTGTACTGATAATAATTAGTTGTCTTACCATAAAAGAATGACAAACCCCCAGTGGATTTTGCACTTCAAACTAGAATCTATTGCTACATATTTTTTTTCAATCTAGAGTCACTTTTATGTAAAAAATGAGGTCAGAAGTGAGTTTAGCCTATTTTTAGACCCGGAACATTTATCACAAATTGATGTTGATTATTATCTAATTTTCCACCTGTTGAATGGGACTCGATTGTGTTAGGAATCCAGTTTGTGGGGGTTGTTTGTGTGTTTCCTCTCTTTCCACCACCAGGTGGTGCCCTGTCCTCGTTGGGCCTCCCTGCACACCTGCGGCTCTGTGGTTCATCACTGGAGGAGTATTTGAGCTGTGGGCTGTCACTACCTCGACGCCAGAGTGTTTGCCAGTATTGGGTACTCTAGCCAAGCTGAGATTAGCAGAGTCTAACCTAGCTTTGTTTCTCTGAGTCTTATGTGTTTTTTGTCTTTGCTCTTCGGCAGGAAGCCTTCCTGTGAAAACTGGATACCTGGACCTTCTGCCTCTGGAAGAAATTACTGAGTTTACACGGAGCAGGGGAAAACCTCCACATGATCCGTTCAAGTCCCCATCAGAAATCCAAGTGACAGTCCGCTCCATTACTCCTCCGGGTCCTACGTATGTCTACCTGTCCGCTCTCCAATGAGTTCCCTCTTCTCTGGATAATCCCAAACAGACTGGATTCAAGGATTGACAAGAGTCCCCTCACACGTGAGTCCCTCTCCAACATAATCCAAGCCGCAGTCTCATTTCCCATGGTCCCTGAACTTATCTCTGTGATCCTTCCTTTAGACTTTCCAGTTCCTGTTCACCAGTTCACTGAGTTCCAGCTCCAACCTCTGTTTACATTACATCTAATAAACCTGTTAAACTTTTCCCCGTGTTTTTGAGTGGTTTCTCTGCATGTGGGTCAGATTCCTTAAACCGATCATGACAGATTGGCAGATTTGCTGATTAATAGTAACATAGTAGGGTTAATTTTTTTGATGATCCAAAAGCCCAGTGAAGAGTCAGAGTTTTTTTTATAGAGTCACAGAACAAAACAACAAAACACACATAGAAAAACAAACAAACAGGTCATGAGTTCAATGTATGGTATATCAAGCGAACCACAAAGCCAAGGTTACAGACCCCTGATCTAACTGTCATTCTATCTTGGTATAACTGCAGCCTAAAGCTAACTACAATATCTAAATAATCAAAGTAAATTAAAAAAGAATCTTTTAAATTTTCTTCTGTCAGCACATAGTATCATATTAAGTTAATTTCAATTTACACAGAAAAAACTGATCTAAAAAAAGTAAAAAAAATAAAAAAAAAATTCCTAAAATAAGTGTGTTTGCCGTTAATATGAGCAGGTGATTATGATGATCCACCAAACGAATCAGTATTTTCCTCTTCAAAATGAATTAAATATTAGACACTTTTTTTCATATTTTAAATTTAAATCATCTTATTCATTTGTAAAATTGTCTAACTTACCTGTTCAAATCAAGGGAAAATAAACTTATTTCAAGAAAAAATGTTTAAATGTTTAAAATATTTAAATTTTTGTTGTGTACATTTTCAGCTGGGGGCCCTAACAGGGCCCTATGCAAGACCAGTTCAATGGGGGCGCTGGCCCCTGTTGGCTCCTGTTTAGAAACACCCATGCTCATAACATTTCCTGCCATCCTTGTACAATCCCCCAGTCTGTGCCTGTCTCAAAAATGCTTTATAAAATAATGAAGTAAATATTTTTTTAGGCTTATGCTCAAATGCTTATTTTTTTAGTTATTTTTAACAGTGAAACAACCTATTCAAGTTGATTGCAGCATTGGTCTATTTACTTTAACCTCTTTTTAGGTTCTGGTGCTATTTAGGTTCACAGCCGTCTGGGCCTTATATAGTAATCGTCCTTCTGATACATCAGCAACAATGCCCTTCAAACCCACGCTCTAAGCTGTGCAATAAGGACACACTACACCGCAGTCAGGTGGTGTGCCCACAGAGTCACTGAAGCACAAATAAGATGTTGATAACCGGCCTACAACCAATAGAAAAAAGGAATTGTGGACGCTGGACCGACATGGGATAAGATTGCATGCTTAGTATCAAGTCCTTCTGTGGGTCATCTCACGCGCTATTACCAAAGGTGTCAGATTTAGGTAGTGGTTGCTTTCTCATGCATATTCAGACATTCAAATACACTCTTCTATCAAAGTATGGAAATATATATGTATTTTAATCTATTTCTGTTGGGTTCTGTTTAAATGTGCTTTATACTGATCACCTGCATATTTGTTTATTCTTATTTTAAATTCAGCTGAAATGCACTGCAAAAAAGGAAAATCTAAAGAAGTTTAATAAACTTGAATTCAGCATTTTGGTCTTATTATATTTGTTTTTCAATGTATTTTCTTAGTAAGACTGAATATTGTTAAGATTATTTGACTTGTTTTAAGAAAATTCGTTTTTTAGAATAGAATAGAATAGAATAGAATAGAATA